AATATCTTCACAGGGCAGTTCTGAAGGGAGACTGGCCTGAAGGCACCGGGCGCCATAGCGGCCTCAGTTTTAGGGATGAGGACGATGAGGGCACGGTTGATGCGCTGAAGGTCCACCTCCTCTCGGTGGAAGGCGTCCAGGAACCGCATGACCGCCGGCTTGACGGTTGTCCAGGCTGCAGCATAGAAGCCCGGGCCAACGCCGTCTGGCCCCGGTGCGCTGTCCGCAGACATGGTGGTGACTACGCGCCTAGCTTCGTTCTCGGTGAACGGAGCGAGGAGCGGTTCAGGGTCTGCCCGCTCTCGTCCTTCGTAGAGGAGGTCGATGTCGAATTGCCAGGTGGTGCCTGTCTCGCCGCCTAGAATGCCGGAGTAGTAGGTGGTGAGAGCAGCCACTTTGTCGCCATGGGCAGTCAGCGCCATGCCGTCGACCTCGAGAACGCGGATGGCGTTGCAGCGGGCACGACCAGAGGCCTTGGCGTGGAAGAACCTCGTGCTCGTACCTATGCCATTGTGTGAAGCTTCTTTTTCCTTTTTATCTGTTCCTTCTGCTGCAATACAAGTAGTTTGAAGTTGAACCATGAATACCATCCGTGGCATGCTGCCCTTCCCAATCACCACGGATCGAGGTCGAGGACAGGCGGAGCCAACGCCGATTGGGGAGGACAGTGTGCCATGGATAGTTGACGGGGCAGTCCTGATATAGATTGGTGGAGTGCGCAGTGGGTCGGGCTACCTGAGCACGGTGATTTGGCGGGCGAAGCAGTAGCAGTAGTAGCAGTAGTAGATCAAGAGCTTGGAGTTCTGGCCACCTCGTAACAGAAGGCAGTGTTGATGATTCCTCCACGGGCTTTTTAGGAGTAGATAGAAGTAGAGATAATGCCAAGCCGCCTCAGCTGAAGCCTGAAAGGATGACTAATGGTGGTCTCGTTCTCGTCAAAATATAATGAGTAAAATACACCGGCGGCCCTCAAACTTAGCAGCGCGTGTCATCTGGGTCCTTGAACTCATAAAATGCACATTTAGGTCCACAAACTTGGCCCATGCTGCACCGTAGGTCCAAATAGGCCTTGGCCAGACCTAATTGCCAACGTGGCAGCCCACGCTGGCACCCGCCTCGTACATGCGGCATGCGCTCCGCGCTCGACCCGTGGTGTGCCCCCGGTCCGCCGCCACGCCGTGCCCCACCAACGTAGACAGCGCCGCCTCCACCACTCAGGCATCCGCGTGCTCCAGGCAGGCCACCAGCTACTCCACTGCCTTGCACCAGCCGTCCGCTAGGCAGAACGTCTCCCACAGCGAGCAGAAGCCGTCGTGCACGCTGCACGTCCCCGTGGTCCCCGGGCTGCCGCTGCTGTCCCTGCCCGGGCCCCCCAAAGCACCCGCACATGAGGCTCTGAGGCGGCGGCGACTTCGGCACGTCCGTCCGCCTCACCGACTGCAGCGACAAGTTCTCCAGCGCCATGGCCGAGTAGAGCAACACGGCGTCCTGCCCGCTGCTCATCTGCTGCAGCAGCTCCACGAATAGCAGTGCCAGTCCCACCTCCCGCGCCAGCTCCACGTGCTGCCCCCGAGCTCCGCGCCCATGTACGGCGACACGTTGCGCAGCAGCTTGAGGGACTCCACGTCCACGCGGATCTCCCAGTGCGGCCATCGTCGACGGGGAGCTATATTAGGACCTTTCGGTCGGCCATCGTCGACGGGGAGCCGGTGAGCCCCACGAGGACGTGAAGGAGCTTGCACAGTTGCACTCGATGGCGAGCCCGGTGTTGATGATGAGGTGGAGCAGGTTGTGCACCATCTCCTCCGACAACAGCGTCTCCCCGCTCTCGTCCAATGGGATGGAACGGAAACTGGCGCGGTGGCGAACGGGGGCGAGCGGCACCGTACGTTGACGAGCGTGTACATGCGCTCTCGGCGCAGTCTTCCACCGCGACCACCGGCATGCCGGTGCCAACACCCCTCGCCCTTACCCTCGCGGCGGGAGCTCCGGTACGCCTGCATCATCTGGTGCAGCCAGGTGCTGCGCGTGCTCCATGCGCGCCAAGATGGCGGCGCGGGCGGCCTTCTTGTCGTGGCTGCTCCCGCGTAGGACGTGGTGGAGCAGGCGGTTGACCGTGTCCAGCCGCGCCGGGTCCTCGATGGCGCCCAAGGTGTCCGCACAGACGAGGCGCAGTTGGCGCGCGGCGGACGTGGGGCACGCCGCGGGGCGAGCGCAGAGCGCATGGACGAGGCGGGTGCTTAGCGTGGGCTGCCACGTCGGCATATACGTCCGAGGCCCATTTGGACCTATGATGTAGCATGTGCCAAGTTCATGGAGCTAGATGTGCATTTTAGGAGTTCGTGGACCTAGATGACACGCGCTGCCAAGTTCGAGAGCCGCCGATGTATTTTACTCAAATATAATCTAGGTACTCTGGTTCATCAGATCAGATGAGTTCATCTTAATATATAGGGCCAACCGTATGGTGCATAAGTAGGGTGCGGTTAATACATTTCTTGCATGATTCTTTATTTGTCATTTTTTGTAGTGTTGGGTGCGCAAGTGCAACCGGATTAGTCGATCCGTTTCTGTGTGATTGTGTCGGCCCGTCGGCGGCTTGCGGCGGAAAGGATGTGTGTGATTGGTTTAAGGGGTCGTTTGGCAGGGCTCCGCGAGCGGCTCCGGCTCCGGCTCCGGCTCCTGCCGAAGCCCTGCCAAATGCACACCCGAAGAACAGCTCTGCCGGCGAAGCCGCAAAGGAGCCGGAGCCCTTTTTCTACTGCGCCAACGGAGCCACGAAAACGAGCTTCCCCGGGCTCCTCCTTCGTCAGGGCGCGAAAGGACGCGGTGGTCCTCTGCTGGTTCGAGCGTTGGTCACAGCGAGGCCGGCCAGTTTTGGTGCGTGCGCATGCTGTGCCTAAAGAAAGAGGAGCTGCTAGCAAGAATAGGAGAAAAGATAGGGTTCCTAATGTAAAACTACAAGAGAGAAAGAAAATAAAAAATGGCTCCAATAATTTAGAAATAGACCAGGGTTCCCAATGAAAAAGCAACTATTAGCTTTCTCCTGAAATTGACCAAATCACCTGATACTTGTAAAATACGTAATAAATCACATAAATATCAAAAAATAGTAAAACTAATTTTTCTACGTTGGATTTAACTAGATTTGCACCATAGTAAAACAATAGGTAGGGGTATTATAGACATTTACCATCTTTCATCCATTCCAAAAAAATAGGAGGAGCTGTTTTGCCAAACGTTTTTCAGAACGGCTTCAGCTCTTTTAGAGGAGCCACTTCTTCAGAGGAGCTAGAACCGGAGCTGTTTTTAGAGGACCAGAGCCCTGCCAAACAGACCCTAAGTAAGAAGCGGATGGATTCGTATGGTATGGAGTGAAGATGAAGAAGACGATGTTACAAGCAAGGAATAAAATGAAGCCAAAAGAACAGCCGAATTCTAGATGCGGCTGCTGCAAGCACTGTTTTTTTTTTTTGAGCAAAGCACTGCTTCTTTATATTCCTGACACATGTATATACGTTACCATACTTGCTTCCACTCACGCTTTTCCTTTCCTTTAGATAACAAGGCCGTGTTTGGCATCTGCTCCGACCGCTCCGGCTCTACGTGCTGCGGTACTGTTTGTCCCTGTTCTCCCACGTAGATAGGAGCCGGTCAGCTCTTTCTCTTGCAAAAAATAACGCCTAAGCAGGAGGAGCCGGAGGAGCCTGTAATTGGGTGCTCCGACGGCTCCTCCACAGTGATGCTATAGTAGCCGGAGCCGGAGCCACCGGAACCCCTCCAAACGGGCCCTAAAGCTTCCGCAAACTACTCTTCTTTATTTTATTTAATTTATTACCTCGACTTCTTCTGAAGTTCTAATCTCTCAATTAGCGCGTCTAGCCCTGGGCAAATTTAACCGAAAACCGAACTGAAAGAACCGGAACTGAAACCGAAAGAATCAGAACCGAAAAATTCAGTTCCTTATTCGGTTCCTGATATTGAGGAACCGAAATAACCGAAGAAAATTTGGTTCCTACTCTCGGTTAACCGAATTAACCGAATTACGTGAATAATACTTCACTTACTTGTATTTTGTAGGATTATGTTTGGTTTATGTGTAGTGTTTTATATTTGAACTGTTATATATTTGTGTTACTATATTGCTATTGTTTTCTTATATATTATTATTATTAAAAATGAGTATAGTGTTGCATAAATTTGTCTTAGAACAAGTATATTTATTATTGTTTTGAGGTCTTCTGAAAAAAAATTCGGTTAGTTCGGTTAGAACCGAAACCAAACCAAAATAACCGAGAACCGAAATGCTCGGTTCCTAAAATTTTTTGGAACTGATCGGTTCCCGTTTTCTAAAACCAAATTTCATCAATAACCGAGAAAACCAAACCGAGAACCGAACGCCCACCCGAAAGCACGTTGGTGGCTTTTACTTTAGCTGGATCTGGAGACGGAAGACTGCTTCCATCCTGCTCGGAAAGGCAAATACGCTCCTTGCTTGTCCGGTGCTGCATCCAGGCGGAAGAAAGTTTGAAAGCATCTCTGGGTCAATGCGCTAAACTTTTTTGTCGCACAAGCCATTTTATCCGACTTCCATCCAATTTTCACCATCTTAGCTGCCCTGACGTATGGGTCTAGGCTATAAAGATGTCCAAAATGCCCTAGCCCCTCTCATACCTTCCTCTTCTTTTCTCCTTCACCCGATCCCTCGCGCCGCCGCGACCTTGCTCACTCACGCCATCGTTTCTATTGCGGGCGTGGTCCTTCTTCAACAGATGCAGCGGCAGGGATCGGACCCGGCTGGCCAAATACCGGCCGGTGCCCGCCAGCGGTCGCGGGGCCGAGGCCACTGCGGCGGCAGGCCGCACCCGCGAGGGGCCTCACCTCGCGCTGCGACGGCCCGTGGCCGAGGCCACGCATGGCGGAGAGCAGATCGGCGGCGGCCTGACGAACGGGGTGTTCCGGCGTTGGTGGCAAGGTGTAGAAGCTGATCCCCGCTGGAGATGTCGGAGCCGGAGCGCGACTTCTACGGGGCGCAGGTGGACGAGTTTGCGGCGGCGGCGGAGGGCGCGAGGAGGAACGGCGTGCGGCTGAGGATGATTGACGTGACCAAGATGATCCTGCGGCGGCCGGACGGGCACCCCGACCTGTACGGCCACGGACCCGGCGAGCACGAAGGCTTCGACATCGACTGCCTGCACTGGTGCCTGCCGGGACCGATCGATGTGTGGAACGAGCTGCTGCTTCAGATCCTGGCCGGCCGTTATTAGACGCACTCATTAGACAAGGGAAAATCATTTTGATTCCAATGTTTTTGTTCTATCGAAACATTATTCTTGATGAGGAACACAATACACTCGATTGATGACATAGGCCGCTTCGGTCGGCTACTCTTGGCGATTTGCACGATCTTTTCCTGTCTGTGTGAGCAATGGCAGGGCAATGCATCATCTCCCCGTCCGCAGCTGCGTTCATTCCCAACGAACTGAATCAAGTCCGCCTGCAATCAGTTCGAGGACTAAACACATTTTGTCATCGTCTACCGGGGGTCACGAAGACCATCGTCGACGCCGCCAAGGAGGTGCTGGACATGGGCGCCATTAGAGTCATCCTCCCGGGCATCTAGCTGGTGCAGTCAGCTGCACTGCATCCGAGATGAACACAGAGTACAAACGTGTGTACCAGAATGAAAGCAGAGGAAGAAACTGTCAACAAGGCAAGGCATGGGTTGTTCATACCTTGTCCGGCTGGGATGTTATTTGCCACAAGAATCAAGGCTAATTTCGTTCAGAACATTAGGATGGCAGAACAGGCAATGGTGAAATTTTTACAATGATAACAGTAAACCTTTTACTACAAGAAACATATATATATATATATATATATATATATATATATATATATATAACACACACACACAAAGCAAAAATGGAAGTGGATACAGCAACCTTTCCCTAGTTCACGTGGCACAACCTTTTCCTCAGGAGTGCATGCGGACACGCGGCAGAACTGCCGAACACCTTGCAGGCGTCCGAGTAGGCATCTTAAAATCTCATTTGTGGTATATTTTACTTTGATTCAGTCTGGGCCGCCTGCAATAAAGTTGTCATTCTCCCCAAGCTCTACAACTTTCATTAAGGGCTCAGAGTCATTTGCGCTTTAGATTAGCAGCTAATTAAATCTTAAGTTGACACTGTCAGACGAATGCCAAAACCATAGGACCAGAGAGTGGCATACGAGGAAAACATAACTTTCAATAAGGTACTCTAGCCAGAGGGCAGTTCTAACTTTTTACAGCTCTATTTGACACCATTAGTAGCAGATGTTGACAGAATGACGTGGAAGGCAAAAAAGTTTAGCGCGGTGGCACCTAGGTGTGTTCGAACTTTTTAGTGACCTATAGATCATGACCATCTTTTATAATGGCATAAAGGTAAAACCCTCTTCTTTTGTGCGGCAAAATATAGTTTCGGGTCGTCGAGCGTGTGGCCCGTTAGTTTCTCTGCAACCACCTCATCCTCTCTCATTTCATATCTCGCATGCATCGACAGTCTCCTCAATGAGAAGTCGAAATGCGTGCCGCCGCCGGGCTCATGTGGTGTTCTTCGAATCCAGGCACGCACTAACTACTCCAGTGACTCATTGTTAATGGGGTGTTTGGCACAGCTTCTCTCGAGGGGCTCCTCCAAAACGGTTCCGGCTTGTCTACTTTTTACTAAAAAAACAGTTCCTCCAGAAAAATGTTTGCTAGAGTTCCTCTGCAAGAGCCAGAGCTGGAGCCAGAGAGGAGTCCCGTCAAACAAGCTCTAAGTTATCCGCACACGTAAGGCCACCTGCATGCAATTAGCCTGTTCGCTTGGTCGTATTTGGCTTATAAGCCATAACTTATCAGTCAATGAATAGTATTTTTCTCTCACACCAAACCAGCCAACAATACTATTAGCCATGGCTTATAAGCCAAACCAGCCTAAACAAACATGGCGAATATTCAAGCTAGAGTTATTGGTACTTGGACTCGTCTAAAAGTTAGCTACCGATCAATGTGTGTGTGATCCGTGTAGTGCTCTCTGTACTTAATTATGGTGTGATACCGTGATGTAATTATCGTCTCAACAGAAAAATAGTGGTGTTATTATATTTGTACATCCCCGAGTGTGTAGAACCAATACAAAAATTTCGAATGCTACAGCATCATTACTAAATTTGAATTTTTACAAATAAACATAGACAGATCGACACCGGTTAGGATAGCTTGGGCTAGGGTGGCAAGGCGCGCGCAGATCGATAGGGAGACAGAGGAGAGACACACCCGCTCGGAGTGAGCTCGGGGGTAGAAGTGACATCAGGATGGCGAGTGGGTCACATAGTCAAATCCTATCCATTTTCAGCCTGTTCGGTTGGCTGGTTCGTTTCGTTGCTGGTTCGTGAAGAAGTACTGCTGGCTAGTTTGTGTGAGAGAAAAATACTGTTCCGGCTGAAAATTTACGATCGTTTACGACAAGCTACAACCAAGCGAACAGGCTGCTTATTTGGCTTAATCATTCCAACCAAACAGACAAATAGGACAAACTCATTCCTCTCAATCAAATATAGATCAATGAGATGGAATAAAAAATAAGACTGTTCAATCGCCAAAATCAAGGATGGGATTACCCCATCTAAGAACATCTCCAAACTAAACACATGTACGTCCTAGGTAGTGGCAGTCCTGTCCTCCCAATTGTTGTTTCTCCACCACCCTAGATAGCAATGCCTTCACTATTATCCAGCCACCACCATTGGGCTCCCTCTATTTTAGCCGTCCCTAAAAATCTGATTTCTAAAATCTGATCCGTCTCTATAAATCATTTTCTAAAAAAACACCAAAAATTATAAATCAGGCTTAAAATATAGCACTAGTTATGTGTGCAACCATGGGGGTTTGTAGCCTTGACCTCAAGCCTTGTGTGTAGCTACAGTCACCGCTCCACCCAAAAGTCAATTGTAACTAAAGGACACAAACATTTGTCTTTTATTCATTTTACCGATTTTGAAATAAGTATTTTGGATCTTAAATAAATTCAAATGAGAAGGTTTTTAACTGCAAAGTTGTAGATATCATCGAGTACTACAACTTTGGTTTTTGTTGTTTCTCCATCTGAGGCCATTTCAAATATTTGAATTACAAATGTGAAAAATTCAAACATATATTTCCTTGGATAAATGATTTCTTAAAAAATATGGATATGAAATTTATAGAAGTATTTGATAAATGTGTTGTGTTTTTTTTTAAATTATAGCAATATTGGAGTAGCCTTGGAATATAGATTTGTAAAAGTATGTATTTGCTATGTTTTACTAAACTTTATTTTAAAAATAAAGTTGTAATTGTAACCAAAATCATATTTTGAAGACCATGTCAAAATCTAAATCATCACTTATTTGTGACTCGATGGAGTAGATATCAACAAAAGCAGTTTCAAATAGATGCAAAATTAGGGGGTTGTTCCTGATGCAAATGACCAGAAAAAAGAATATTTCTCAATATGTCTTGCACAGTGGAAGCAACTTATTAATTTTCTATGTGTTGGTCAGAGAAATAATTCGATATACTAGAAATTGGACACCAGGTTCTTGAAAACTTTTCACATTTCTATTTATAAACAAGCACGTCTTGAGCGATCACTGCCAGTGACCAGGACATATGTTCCAGGTCGAATGGAACGTATTCTCGCAGAGGCTCGGGGAATATGTTAGACCGTCTGAATTAGCAGCCTTGGAAGAGAAGGTATGGGAATGGAGCAAGGAGCACCCGGTGATATGGAACGTCGGAATTGGACCTGCAGCTTTGCTTGTGTCCACTCTCACCAGGTTCTTGTTCGACCACACCAAGGACCTATATGGACTTACGACGACATGATACACATGAGACCCTTGCTTAAATGTGGTTGGATTCACATCAATCCACGTGTATTGGGATAGATTGAAGTGGGCTAAATTCCACCTCAATCCATCAAAACACACGTGAATTGAGGTGCATCCGACAACATCCAAACAAGGCCTTAAGATGCAAGCAGCAGTACAGCCTAGCAGCATGGGTCGGCGTTTGAGGTCCTCACATAGATAATACTGACAAGAACAAATAACTCTAAATAGAGCATCAATAAATAGATATCATTTTTAGGAGCATTAGAATTATTTCCATGTTTTTCTTATTTAAAAATAATTAAATATCAATTTGTCCGGAGATCATGAATTATTTTTAGAAAATAGAAAGCACCTATGAAAGAGTTACTAGATCAAATCTGTTCGACTCTGATTGTTGGAAGGTGTCTGTTAACCGGTTTTATCATTCAAGGATGAAAATTGGACTGACCAGCAACTTGGAGGTTGAGAAATGTACTCTACTCTTAACACAGTCAATTCATGGTTTGATTTATCTCTTCTTTTCTTATCCGGTTCATTTGGAGTTTCTTATGGACATTTAAAGCCTCGGTTCATATAATATACCACCCGAAATTGTTTGGCAGTCAAACTATTTTTTTTCTGAGCAACAACTAATTTTCTTTTGTGATTGAAGGAAAAAAAAATCTCCATATTTCCTCCGTCAAGGCCCAAAGAAGACAGCATGCCCAAGAGAGCCCACCCAAGCACCTTCGTCATCTGTCCTCTCCTGGCTCAGTCGTCTCACGCGAAGGGAGATTTAACTTTTTACCATTATAACAATCGGCACCTCATGAGATCTCACTTTAACGGCTAGCAATACGAATTTAGCACGCAACGAAGAGAAGAGATACATAATTACCACTTTTGCACTCGTGGCACGCCAGCGTGTTAGTTCAGGTGGAATCTGAGGCAGCATGGGGTGGCAAATGACCGTGGCTGCCCCTACCCACTGCTGCGTCTTCTTCCTTAAAATCCCCTGCATTCTCAAAAAAAAAAAAAGACGACGATGGTGGACATAGTGGCCGCTCGGGACCTGGACAGGAGCTTGCCGGCGCGGGCGTGCTCGGCACTGACGGCGAGGGCAAGCTCTACTCGCGCTGTACACGCACGCAAGGCCTTGGCAGAGGCGAGCACGACCTCTACTCGAGCTCCGGCCATGGGGGAGGGGCGAGCTCAGACCTGGCGGCCATGGAGAGCGCAGCACGGCCGCGGGCGAGCTCGACCCTGGCGGCCATGGCGAGCTCAGCGCCGACGCAGACGGCCCCAGCAAGTTTGGCCCTGGCGGCCATGGCAAGCTCGACGCCGGTGGCCATGGGGAGCTCAGCCCCGGTCATGGCGAGCTCGTCCCCCGACGCAGGCTGCCCCGGCGAGCTCGTCCCCGGCACAGACTGCCCCAGCGAGGTCAGCCCCAGTGTCCAAGGCGCGGGCGAGCTCGGTCCTGGCAGCCATGGCGAGAGTAGCACGACCGCGGGCGAGCTCGGCCCCGGCGGCCATGGCGAGCTCAGTGCTGACGCAGACGACCCTAGCGAGTTCGGCCCCGGCGGCCATGGCGAGCTCGACGCCAGTGGCCATGGGGAGCTCGGCCCCGGTCATGGCGAGCTCGTCCCTCGACGCAGGCTGCCCCGACGAGCTCATCCCCGGCACAGACTGTCCAAGCGAGGTCAGCCCCAGTGTCCAAGGCGCGGGCGAAGCTCGGTCCTGGCGGCCATGGCGATCGCAGCACTGTCGCAGGCAAGCTCGGCCTTGGCGTCCATGGGGAGCGACGCAGACTGCCCCGGTGAGCTCGGCCCCAGCTGCCATGGTGAGCTCGGCGTCGGTGGCCATGGGGAGCTCGCCTCGGCCATGACGCAGCAGAGGGCAGGGGCAGCCGCGGTCATTTGCCACCCCATGCTGCCTCGGATCCCACCTGGACTGACACGCTGGCATGCCACGAGTGTAAAAATGGTAATTATGTATCTCTTCTTTTCGTTGCATGCTAAATTCATATTGCTATCTGTTAAAATGAGATGTCACAAGCTGCCTATTGTTATAATGGTGAAAAGTTAAATCTCCCCACGCGAAGGCAGCTGCCACGGCCCACCACGCGCAGCTTCGATTCGTTTCCCCACTCCACACCAGACTGCCGCCGCCGCCGTGCATTTCCCAGCGCAAGCTGCATTTCCCATCGAATCGGAGCGACGGCGCCGACCATGTCCAGCCGGACGCGCCCGCCTTGGCTGAAGAAGCTGAAGCGTATCATTGGACGGCGCCTCCGCTCGGGAAGCCTCAGCACCGAGGCCGCGCGCCAACTCTGCGACGAGGTGCTCCCATCGATCCGAAGGCGTTCCCCACCGCCGGCCGTTTCGGCAGCAGCGGACGTGTGGAGGGCCTACCGCCGCCCTTCCTGGGAGCTGGAGCAGTTCGTGGGAGAGTGTTACCGCTCGGGGGACCTCGGCCCCGAGGACGCACTCGATCTGTTCGACGAATTGCTTCCTCAAGCGATGCCCGGTTCCATTTACGCCCTCAACCAGCTCCTCACCACCGTCGCTCGCTCCCCGGTCTGGTCCACCGTGCGCTACGGCCCTGCGCTCGCCGTGTCCATGTTCAACCGCATGGCCCGAGCGGGCGCCAAGGAGGTGGCTCCAGACATAGCTACACCATCCTCATCGGTTGCTGTTGCGATGCCGGCTACTTGAAGATCGGCTTCGCTGCATTGGGCCAAATCATTAAGACGGGGCTGAGGGCAGATGCCATGACCTTCATGCCCATGCTTAGGACCCTCTTTGCTGAGAAGAGGACGAGTGACGCTGTGAATGTTGTGGTCAGACGGATGCCTGAGCTAGGCTGCACCCCCAATGTCTTCTCCTACACCACACTTCTCAAAGAGCTATGTGCTGAGAAGAAATGTGAAGAGGCTGTCGATCTGATCCACATGATGGCTGAAGATGGAGACAACTGCCCACCTAGGCCCTGTTCGCTTCGCTGAAAAAACAAGCCGAAATACTTGTTGTGAGAGAAAACACTGTTCCGGCTGAAAAAACAAACAGAAAAAGACAGATTATAAGAGAAGCGAACATGACCCTAATGTTGTGTCTTATAACACTGTAGTCCATGGCTTCTTTAAAGAGGGTGAGGTGGGGAAAGCTTACACCCTGTTTCGCGAAATGCTTGATCATGGGATCTTGCCAAATGTTGTGACTTGCAGCTCAATCATTGATGGCCTATGTAAGGTTCATGCAATGGACAAGGCCGACGAGGTCCTTCGGCAGATGATTAACGAACATATTATGCCTAATTGCGCTACATATAACAGTCTGGTCCACGGATACCTCTCTTTGGGACAGTGGAAAGAGGCAGTCAGAATTCTCAAACAAATGTTCAGATATGGGCAACAACCAGATGTTGTTACTTACAATATGATGATAGACTATCTTTGTAAATCTGGATTGCGCGCAGAAGCTAGAGAGATCTTTGATTCTATGATTCAGAGTGGTGAAAAACCTGATGTTGCCACCTATACAAGTCTGCTTCATGGGTATGCTACCGAAGGCAATCTTGTTGAAATGAACAATGTCAAAGATCTAATGGTACAAAATGGAATGCGACCTGACCGTCATGTCTTCAACATACAGATGTATGCATATAGTAAATGTGGAATGCTAGATGATGCAATCCTTACATTTAACAAAATGCAGCAGCTCGGATTGATGCCAGACATAGTCACCTACAACATGGTTATAGATGGGCTTTGCAAGATAGGCCGGCTGGACGATGCATTGTCCCAATTTTCTCAGATGATTGATGATGGATTGTCTGCCAATATCATAACATTTACAACCCTAATTCATGGTCTTTCTATGTACGGCAAATGGGAGAAGGCTGAGGAACTATTTTATGAGATGATGGATAGAGGCATTCCTCCTGATGTCAATGTGTTCAGTGCAATGATAGACAAGCTATTCAAAGAAGGAAAGGTTACGGAGGCCCGAAAACTCTTTGATTTGATGCCCCGTGCAGGAGCAAAACCTAATGTTGTTTCCTATAATACAATGATTCATGGGTACTTCTTAGCTGGTGAAGTGGACGAAGTGATGAAGCTCCTTGATGGTATGCTCTTGATTGGCTTGAAACCCAATGCTGTTACCTTTAATACTTTACTTGATGGCATGGTCTCTATGGGATTGAAACCCGATGTTGTTACCTGTAAGACTTTGATTGATAGCTGTTGTGAAGATGGTATGATCGAGGATGTATTAACTGTGTTCAGAGAAATGTTGAGCAAGGCAGATAAGGCTGATACTATCACGTAAAATATAATTTCGTGAGTGTTATTTCAGATTGGACGAACTGCAATTGGGATGGAGTCAACCTATAGAAGACCAAAAGAAGGAAACAGGTTCTTAATCTTAACTAGGACGCATTATGTTGTGCTTAATTTTACATGAAGATGATTTGGAAGTGTCATCAGTCTGGAGAAGTTACAATATAGTTTCTTATCTACCCTGTAGTATGTATCTGGTAGGTCTTCTTGTCACTGTAAATTTTAGTGTTTGGTTGTTGCAAGCTTGATCTTTTGTGAGGTATATGTATGAGGGGACTCCTTGCAATAACGGTCCTTAGCCTTTATTTTTCATAGAACAGTAGCCTTGGTTTGTTTGCTGTATATGTATGAGGGGACTCCTTGCAATAACGGTCCGTAGCCTTTATTTTTCATAGAACAGTAGCCTTGGTTTGTTTGCTGAAGAAACTGTTTTTTCGTCTTTCTACTCTTGAGGAGTTGAAGACCTGTTCTTTAGTCTTATGCTGAAGTCAGCTGATTTTAAAACATGTGCATACCAAGTATACGCCTCTTGTCACTGTTTCAATGTGGTATTTTCGCTCAAAGCATTAGAAGTTGTTACACCAGCAGGAGTTAGTTCATACATTTGAGAAAACATATCTACAAGGATGCTTACAGCACAAGTTATTACTTCAATACCAAAGTGATCTTACTCAGGTTCCAAGAGCTAGTTAAAGGCTTAAAGTAAGGCATTGAAAGCATACTAACTGCTACCGCATGATGACATAACTATGATGGGCAAAGTTGTGTGCGCAAATTTTGAAGGGAAACACCCTTCCTCTATTGAATTGTCCATTGTTAGTATGTAATGGCTCTCAGGGTAATACCGGTTGCGCCTTTTGCATGAACCTCTGGTATGAGCAGCATGAATTGGAAGGGAAGTTATTCGAGGTATGAAAATTTTGGTTCCATTTTTCGAGTTATTCATTAGAAACTTGTATTGTTAATTATATGTAATGAGTAGCAGGCTTTGTTAAACCATTGGAGACACTGATGCATGTGTGTTGTTTTTGTTTTGCTCAATTGTTATCTTTGTCAAGCGAGAGGCATGCGCTCCTAATTTGAGTGCTATTTTCAGGAGGTGACTTGGATTTTGCCTTTGAAAGTATTTCAGCCTTCTCAGACAATGGGGAGAATCAAGGGTATATTTTCCTGCTGTGAAGTGTCGAAAACATCAGGTAGGCTGTTTCATTCCTTACAGGAACTGATGAGCTAGTATTCTATCCCCTGCTTTTGTTAGAGCTGTACTTACCTTACAACCCTTGCAAAAATAGCAAATAAGATTTGCCCTTTTTTTAATAATAATATAGGAATTTGTTCAGTTCTACTCTGGTTTGGTCACTTTCTTTTTTTTTCTGGAGTTTTTCTTGCATACGTATGTCATTTCTAAGTACCTCCTCCTCATTTCGTTTTGCAAATGATCTACACTGACTTGTTGCCTAGTTTGGTCACCGGGGGAGCACTCGCGTTGCCTCGCTTGGCGAGAAATCAGAGGCAGATTGCTGTTTGGTTCGCCAGCGAGCTGGCCTTGTTATCTGTATTTTCCAGGATTTTCTTTCTCAAGTGAACTAGCCAATTCGGCTTACCTCCGCTGGCAAGGCTAGCCTTGCCCAGCAAAGGGAGACCAGGTGATGAAGCAAGGCATCATTTGAGTATTTGACTCTAACATTGCGAGTCTGTCTCCTAACAAAAATTGCTCCTCAGACATTACGAATCTGACCTGACTTGGATAAAGGACAGTTTATTGGGTTATACTGTAATCCGACAAGGTTTGATCAATGTTAGAGCAGATGCTTATCGTGTTAACAGTTTGTTTTGAACTTTTGATCTCTCCATTTTTGGATGAATTTCTTTATTCTTTTAGTGGCTCAAAGCTTGTTCTTTATAACTGAAGTTTCTGATTTGTAAAAAGCAGCTTGCTTCTCTGGAGTGGAAGCTTGATGTACTTAAAGCAGAAGCTACCACCGTTACCCAGGGAAAGAAGTCCGGCTCATGTGCTAATACAAGAGCTAATGGACAACTTGCTGGCTTAGATGCGAATTTTGCTAAGAGAAGTTCAGAGGTAACGTTCCTTGCCTTTGTCCAAAACAAGTAGACTATACTACTGCACTGCCCGTTCTGTAATCTAATTTCATTAGATATTTACTGGGACTTATGTTCCATGTTATACCCCAGGGTACTCATATCTGGTTTATAACCTGTCACCCATTGATTAATGATGTAACCTGGCTAGTACATCAGCTAGTATTTTGCGTTTTTCTGAGGGCTGAAGACTGTTCCTATTCACTAAAGTAAATGGTATCTTGATAAGTGCTGCCTGCTGGCAAATAACAGGACATCCCAAAGGTAACCTGGCTGACTTTGTCATGCAGAAAGGCAGAGGCCCACAGTTCGCAGGCTGCTCGCGGCCGCCGGGGACTCACCTTCAGGGTGCTGGTGCACCTTGACATGGTGGAGGACCCTCCGGACAGAGACGGCCGTGCTGCTGCTCCCCGGGTCTACACGTGGGACTACGGGATCGTGGATGGAGAAAGGATGCCGCGCGACCGCCACGACCCTCCACCGGCTGACACCCATGGCGGCCACCGCGACGACGACAGCGACCATCGTGGGCCCCGTGAACGCCAGGGGGACAAATGGTACTCGCGGCTCACCCGCAGCCTGTCGCGGGCGCCCAAGGACCGCGAGCGGGAGCGCTCGGTGTCCAGGCACGGTGGCCGTCGACACCACAGCCCGGAACGTGGGGGCCGCCGACGCCCACTGCACAACGACGCGGATGGCCGGCGTCGCAGCTGGCCATGGTGCCCGGCAACCGACCCAAGGCGACGCTGCGGATGCTGGCACGGGGGCTCGGCAGCACCTCGCCATCCACCCAGTTGATGTCCACGGCAGAACCAGGGGCCGAAGCAGGGAAAGGGCGCCCCACCGGAAGCCGCACAGGCGCGCGCGCTCGGAGCCGAGGAACACGACGCCACGCTCAAAATCACCGTCGCCGCGCCTGCGCTGCAAGTCACCTAACTTCAACGGAGGCAACGGCAACAACCACCACCCGTCGCCAAGTCCTCCCAAGGTGCGTGCAGAACACAGTCAATGCGACGATTTGCCCTTCATCCCTTCGGTCTCTGACCCTCCGACCTGCGAACCGAACGACCCTCCTGCTGCCGCTGCACAGGGCACGGACGCACCACCGAACAGCTCCTCTTCGGTGCACCTGACCGGAAATGTATCTCCTTCTTGTCTGAATGAACTGCAGGTTCCCCCCATCGACGACCATGACGTCACGACACAGCAGCGTTCGTGCCTCGCGGCTAATCGGCGCTTCCGCACGGGCCAGGTCTATGCCAGGCGGCTAGGCCCTCTTCGCACGCACCGCGCCCACGCATAGCCGGCCAGAAACGCCCTGGTGGTGCGTTTCCGCCCTGGCGTCGTCTACTCCAGGCGCCATGTCCGCGGGATGCCCAGCACCTGCTCCAGCCGCACATGCATGGCAAATGGCCTTCACCACCTGCTGCCGGAACAGAACGCCAACGCCGAGGAGGTAAACAATGTTGGCCAAACGACGCCTGCCAATGCTGCACTGGTATCTGAATTTCTATAGGGGATTTCACAGCCCCTGCCTCCACCCATCTTGCAGGTCCCGGCGCGCCAGCACAGCACACCACAGCGACGCAAGAGGCCTCTGGTCCCGGCGTGAAGGAGCGTCCGCATAGCCGCCATGAATTGGCCAAGGGGCGACACCCAAGCGAAGGCCAGGCTAGTGCTGATGAAAAGACTGGGCATCCTCGACATGGAAGGACTCAACCATGACGACGCGTTGCTGCGCTACTTCAGCTTGTTCAAGGGACCACTTAACGACGACGCCGTGAAGGCAATGACGGCTTTGTGCGGCCTCGACGCTGAGGAGGCGCTGCCGCACGCCTAGATGCCTGCTGACGCAAATGGGTTGACCGATGTAATAATGTTAGTGATCGTTTACCACTGCGGAAGCTCTTCGAGCTCCACATCTTTTGTGACCATCCTGTCATGGTGCTTGGGTTCGGCGACAGCCAGAGGCCTACAGTCGCCAACCCACCCCACTGCAACGAACCGTCAGCTGGTAGTTAGATGTAGCAAGAAATCAGCAAGCAGGAAGCGAGTGCTTTGTATCTTTGTGTCGACAGCCAGCGGCTTTCAGTTGTATCGGCCACTCCAAGTTGATGCTTTCGTAATCTCTGTGTGCTTATGCCTTTGTGTGCTTACCTCTATGCCTGTTGCCTATACTGAACCAACAGACGACTTCCTACTTGTCTCCTTCCGAAGAATTATTTTAGATAGGGGCCCATTGGTTGACATATGGCACAAATGAATTGTCAGTTACTTAATTGGAACGTCAGGGGTCTAAATGATGGCGCCCGACAGGACTCGGTCAGCGAGCTCGTGAGAACCACCGGCGCCACCATTATATGTTTACAAGAAACAAAGATGCAAGCTATGGACCATAATGTGGTTCGCCGAACAGTCGGAGCGAAATTTGAAAACTCCTATAGTGTGCTCCCGGCGGAACAGACATGAGGAGGCATCTTCCTTGCGGTCAACGAAGACTTCTTCGACCTCTTCGACATTGCACTTACCGTGAACACTATAACCGCGCAGATCAACATGAGGGCAGATGGAACAAGGTGGCAAATTACGGTGGTATATGGTCCGCAAGGGGAGGAGGCCAAACTTCAATTCCTCCAAGAACTGAAAAACATTACGCCGCCGGAGAATGATAGATGGCTCATCCTGGGAGATTTCAACCTCATCTACCAGGCGGAAGATAAGAACAACGCCAATCTCAACCGACGTCTCATGGGGGCATTTAGAGCGACGATCGATCATTTGAGGCTCAAAGAAATCAAGCTAAATGGTCGTCGCTTTACCTAGAGCAATCAACAGCAAAACCCTACGCTCACTAGAATCGACAGACTACTATGTACCCTCGAGTGGGAGCTGTCCTTCCCATCGTGTTTCTTGCACTCCCTTCCATCGCTCATGTCGGACCATACACCGCTGCTACTCCAGGGAGAACTTGACCACAATCACAACACTTCCTTCCGCTTTGAAAATTACTGGACTAAGATGGATGGCTTCCTAGATCTTGTCCACAACATTTGGAATAGACCGGTCACCACCGCTCTTCCGATCAAACGCTTGCATATCAAAATGGCGCGTGTGGCAAAATGTATCAAGCGTTGGAAGAAAGAGAAGATAGGGGATACAAGGATGCAGCTCGCCATAGTGAAAGAAGTGCTACTACAATTAGAAGTAGCCCAAGAGCATAGGTTGCTCACTGCCATGGAACTTCACCTATGTCGCCGCCTCAAAGCCCGTAGCACTGGACTCGCGGCCATCGAAAAATCAAGAATCAGACAGAGATCGAGACTAACATACATTCGCTGTGGGGATGCTAACACAAAGTTCTTCCACACTCGAGCAAACGCACGCCGGAGAAAGAATTACATACATTGTTTACATACGGATGGGGGGATCGCGGTGGCTCATCAAGAGAAAGAAAAGGTGATTCGAGATTATTTTAAAAATCACATTGGCACCGCGATGCTGAGAGTTTCCACACTAAATTGGCAATCCCTTGGATACAACCAACACGATCTCTCCGACCTAGAGTTGCCTTTCTCCCAGGAAGAGATAAAAAACATTATATATTCCATGCCTTCCGACAAAGCACCAGGACCGGATGGATTCACGGGGGCCTTCTTCAAAGCGTGTTGGGAAATCATTAAGGATGATGTAATGGCTGCCATGAACAACCTATTCAACTTGAATGCCCAGGGCTTCGAATGGCTAAATTCGGCTTGCATCATCCTTCTACCCAAAAAAATAGATGCAACAAGAGTTACTGATTTCAGACCCATCAGCCTCGTCCACAGCATTGCAAAGATCTTTTCTAAGGTGTTAGCTAACAGACTTGCCCCTCAACTCAACCAACTTGTCTCCAACTGCCAGAGCGCATTCATAAAAAAGAGAAGCATCCATGATAACTTCCTATACGTCCAGGGCACGGTTCAAAGGTTGCACAAGCAAAAGATACCGGCTTTATTCATGAAACTAGATATCCACAAGGCTTTTGATACGGTTCATTGGGGGTACCTGCTCGAGATTCTGCAAGCCCTAGGCTTCGGACAGCGATGGCGTGAATGGATCTCTATCCTCCTGCGTACATCCACTTCCACACCCTTGCTTAATGGGCGACAGGGTGCCGCTTTTAGCCATGCTAGAGGCGTCCGTCAAGGAGATCCACTCTCACCCATGCTATTCATCCTTGCTATGGACCCGCTTCAACGTTTGCTTGACCGGGCAACCGACCATGGGATACTCACCCCCTTACCAATCACGGCGGCAAAATGGAGAACCTCCATGTATGCGGATGATGCTGCCATTTTCATTAGCCCCACAAAAGACGATGTTCAAGCCGTCAAATCCATCCTACACGCTTTTGGCTCATTCTCGGGACTACATATCAACCTACAAAAGAGCTCGGTGCACCCAATCAGTTGTGCAGACATTGATCTAGACCAAGCCCTCTCACCCTTCACCGGTTCTAGAGGGACCTTCCCTTGCAAGTGCTTGGGCCTGCAACTCCACATCAGAGCACTGCAAAAGATACACGTGCAACCTCTCATAGACCGTATCGGGCAAAGGTTACCCAAATGGAAAGGAATATGGCTTAACAGAGCAGGACATCTCACTCTAGTAACATCTGTCCTCTCCTCCATGCCAACCTACCACCTCACGGTGTTTCCTCTAGCTGCATGGGCTAAGAAAAAGATTGACAAAATCAGGAGATCGTTCCTCTGGAAGGGGGAGGAGAACGCCAATGGCGGACACTGCCTTGTTAACTGGCCAACAGTTACCAGGCCAAAAGATCTGGGTGGTTTAGGCGTCATCGATCTTGATAGATTTAGGAGAGCCCTCCGGTTACGATGGCTTTGGCAGGAATGGATGGACGGCTCTAAGCCTTGGAACGGCTCCGAGCTTCCATGTTCTGATGATGATCGTCTCCTCTTCAACTCCTCAATCAGTATAACTTTGGGGGACGGTGCAAAGACTAGATTTTGGCACCACAATTGGCTCGATGGATACGCGCCGAGGTACTTAGCACCAAACTTGTTTTGCCTAGTTTCAAGGAAAAACCGAACGGTGAAACAAGAGCTCCGGAACAACAATTGGATACGCAAGCTACAAAGGAAAATCACCTCCGCTGTCCACATAGAGGAGTTTGTGTCCCTTTGGATACGGATACAAGATGTGCACCTACAGCAGGGCGTCCAGGACACCATCACCTGGCGGTGGACCGGTGATGGGAAATACTCCACCCGCTCGGCCTACAGAATACAGTTCAGAGGCTCGCTCGTCCCCTTCAGTACAGAGTTGATCTGGAAAGCGCATGTGGAGAACAGATGCAAGATTTTTGCCTGGATCTTAGTGCAAGATAAAATTCTAACGGCACAGAACCTACAGAGGAGAGGGTGGCCACACCATCAACAATACGTGCTCTGCAATGGTCCTTTAGAGACCGGCCTCCACCTATGCCTATGTTGCCCCTTCGCTAAGGGGGTTTGGAATCAAATCCTCTCATGGGAGAACTTCACTCAGATCCAGCAACAACCCCAGGTGCAACCCACCGATATTAGATCATGGTGGGAAGAGGTGGCGACGAAAGTGCCAAGATCAGAGCGTAGGCGGCTGAACGGGGTAGTAATCTACACCTTCTGAAACATTTGGAAAGAGAGAAATAGGAGAATCTTCGACAACAAGATACAGACGGTGCCGCAGCTGGCCGCAAAGATAAAGGATGATATAGAGCAAAGGAAGCGAGCACTCGATTATGTGTTGCTGATGCCCCCTCACCTTTGGGCCGTGCGTTTCCCTAACTTGCATGCTTGGGGGGGTTTCTATTCCTAACCTCGACTACCTTAGTTTGTACATAAACTCTCTTTTCTCCAGCTTAATTGAAAGGCAGAGCTCCTGCCATTGCGTTAAAAAAAAAAAGGGTCTACTGGACTGCTTGGTCCACGGGTTATTCATCCATTTCATGTTGTTTTCTTATGATGTTGTTTTGTGTCAATCCATAATTAGTTAAAACTGAAGTTTATGCTTCTTTATGTGCTGTTTGGTTCTTTCTGATAGGAATTCATTCTTGAACTTAATGAAAGAAGAGTCTGCTATCTGTTCTGACTTTTTTTTCTTCTCAAACACACGGAAGAGCTACGCATCATTATATTAAGAAGAAAAAATAGGATAAGAACCCATACAAGACACACCCACTCACACCACTATGTCCAAATTAAACAAACTAGCCCTTGACACAAAAAGTAGGCGATCTTGACCCAAAATTAACTCTTATGCAGCCCCTGGGCAAGGAGGTTATTGATATCCCGTGCCCCTACCAAGCTCCAATAGAGAAGTTCCCCACTAGCGAGCAACAAAGCTCTAGCTAGGTTTGTAGCAGCATCAATAACACATCGATTACGAATATTCCACAAAGTTCATGCTCCCAGAATAATGATGGAGTTGAGGCCCTTTCTTAAGTGAACGGCCACTGCATTTTCTGATTTTTTTATAACTTTTTATGAATACAATTCTTAGAATACTTCCTGCAACTACCCAGGACTTGCCTTACTTTCATTCAGAAGCTGGCACCATCGGGCCTCGAGATTCGGGGGGAGGGGGGAGCGCACGGCGCTGGGAGAGGTGTAGCCGCGGAGCCCGCAGCTGCGTGCGCTGCAGATGGGGGAGGGGAAAAGAACGTCGCCTTGGGCCGGAGACGTCCGGAAGGTTCGAGGAAGCGAGCTGTCCTGTTTAGGTGCCATGCGCGGGAGGGTCTAGAAAGAGCCGAGGCAGGCAACGGATTGGAAGCACGCGTTAAATCGGACGGCCTTCAGAAAACGGTGACGTGGCGCAAGGAGCTGTTGTTTTTTGTATACAGCAATAAATAATAATAAAAATGGTAGATGCCTGACGAGGACAGCAATCAGCTTCAGGAGGTGCTCAAGCAGCTCGCCGCAGAAGAGATTGGCCAGGGTTTTGGACAGTGGTGCATTGAATTGCTTGCATCAGATCAATCCGTTATATTTTGGGACCGAGATATTACTTGTCATTATTTTTACACCAACAGGATCCCATGGACAAGGACATATTACAGGACTCCCTCCGTCTCCTCCCTCCGTCTCAATATATATATATATATATATAGGCACGATAGGTCTTCGAAAACATATTTTGAGTTATAATTTTTCTCTTACAATATGTAATTTATAAAAACAAAACTTTGACCATTAGAAAGTATTTCTAAATAGAAATTAATGTAATTACTTTAATAGAATAAATTCTTCTTATGATTCGGCCAATTTTTTTGTGTGCGAGAAATATGATTAGGCTAATTGTTAGTCAAAGATAACAAAGTTTGAATTTTAAAACACGTGCAGGCCTTATATTTTAGAACAAAAGGAGTAGTTATTAGTCATTATCAGTGTCAGGTTCATAAACCCGGAGTCCCTCAGGGACCGGCTTCAACGCCAGGGCTCGGCCTAAGAAAACAGCATGTAGTTCATAGGCCGGCCCAAGAGTCTAAAACACAACGGGTCGGAAGGACAGTCCGGTCGCCGACCGAAAGGTCTACCCAAAAGAACAAGCACCCGCTCGTCAACTTCTTCGGCCCACCTCTCCGGCCGGAGCACCGGAGCACTCGCTTCAGACACCAGCCGCCTCCGGGCGGTCTCTCTGATCGGAATGCTTGGCCCAAAACGCTGCTTCCTACTCCAACCCCGCGACTCTGACCGGGGACCCCGTAGGAAGCCTGCTTACCGCTCTTCTCCGACTGGTGCGGCCAGAGCCGACTGGGGCCATCTGATTGGGGACGTCCG